GGAAGTGAAGTTTGCCAAGCCTCTGGAGCACTGCGGGCAGGGAAATGCGTTGGAGCAGCGTGGCACCTCCTGGCAGCACTATGGGGGGATTCGTGGGGCTTGACGGGGTGTGAGCATCCCAGCCCCACTGTTGCCTCTTGGCTATGCCAGATGAAGGATGGCTCAAACTGGGAGCGTCCGTGGTGGCACACCGGTTCTAGCGGCGTGGGATGCACGGGGTCGGACAAGGGATGCAGGACCTCAGGGCTTTCTTCTGCTGCAGCATCACCCCAAATCCTTGTACCCTCAATGAGCCCTGATTGTGATCCTCCCTCTTTTCTTTCTCGCCATAAGCATTTCCAGGAACAGGAGGTCTCACTGTCCCAGCACTCACTGAGTGCAACAGAGCCCTCATCTCAGCTGGGAACACAAATATTTTCTTAACCTCCTCAAACTCTGCCCAAATAGGATCTTTTATCATAAACCCAGTGACACATCCCAGAACTGGAGTGCAAATGAGTTCTTTTGGCACAAGCAGGAGGACAGAGCAGCCCTTTGGCTTGGCACTTCATAGCAAAAGGAGAGTTTTATACTGCTTTTTAAGCCAGCTCTAATGTATTTTGCCGTAGAGGGACTTGGTGAAGCCACCAACAGATCCCCTTGCCCCATCATCACCAATGCTCAAAGCCTCACGGCGATGCCCAGAGGGAGGCTCTGAGTACTCAGGCTTTACTCAAATCACAGCAACGACTGGGAGGATTAAACCCTCCTTCTCCAGGGCTGTATATCCCTCTGCAAAGGATCAGTTTGGAAGCTTCATCTGCAACGTCAAGGTTGCACACGCTGGTGTCAGAGCAGGGAGCTGATGTGAGTAGGTAAAGCATAAACCAACCGAGGCCTTATTTCTTAGCTGCTCAATTACTGAAAGCTGAAATGATCCTAGCAAGGTTCTTCTATAGCTTCAGCCCTTGATGAGGCTCTCCCACACCTGACCCCCAGCCGGTTCCTGTGCCAGCTCTGGCTATGACAATGCTGCATCAGAGCACTCCAGCTCCCAGGGACATGATATAATTCAAGAGGAACGCACTCTGGGATGAGCACTGTACACAGGGACAGTGAGAAGCACCAAGAGGTGCAGCACAGGAGAGGAAACCTCCTACCCGTGATGGACGCTTCTGTTAATAGAGCCACGTCTTTGTGCCCAACTGGGGAATGCCACATGCAACACGTGTCCCTGGGATGGCACATACAATATGTGCTCCCATCCCAGGAGAGCACAGGTTGCAAGGAACCACCAATAGCTGTCTGGTCCATGAGGGAAAGGCCTGATATCTATGGATGTACCCCACGTTCCTGACTTGGTTTGCATTTGACCACACCAGCTGGCTGCAGAAGGATCATGCTGCATGCATGGACATGGTGGGTTCTCCTTGGGAGGATGAGCTGGGCAGGGGGAAGGAAGGAAAGAAGAGAGAGAGAGAAGGGATGGTGCTGGAGGAAGGTAAAGCATCCCAGGGTGATGCCTTTGCCCCTTCTGGTGAGACACAGCCCACCAAGGCTGAGTAGCTCACAGCATCCCTGTCATCCCAGCGTGACCAGCAAGTTGAAGGAGGTGGTTCTACCCCTCTGCTCTTGTGAGACCCCACTTGCAGCACTGTGTGCAGTTCTGGTGTCCTCGACATAAGGAGGACATGGAACTGTTGGAACAAGTCCAGAAGAGGCCACGAGGATGATCAGGGCCTGGAGCAGCTCCTGTATGGAGACAGGCTGAGAAAGTTGGGGCTGTTGAGCCTGGAGAAGAGAAGCTGTGTGGAGACCTCAGAGCAGCTTCCAGTGTCTGAAGGGGGCTACAAGGATGCTGGAGAGGGGCTCTTCATCAGGGACTGCAGTGATAGGACAAGGGGTGATGGGTTCAAACTGAAACAGGGGAAGTTCAGGTTGAAGATAAGGCAGAAGCTCTTCCCTGTGAGGGTGCTGAGGCACTGGAATGGGTTGCTCAGAGAAGCTGTGGCTGCCCCATCCCTGGCAGTGTTCAAGGCCAGGTTGGACACAGGGGCTTGGAGCAAGCTGCTCTAGTGGAAGGTGTCCCTGCCCGTGGCAGGTTTAAGGTCCCTTCCAACCCAAACCATTCCATGCTTCCATGATCCTGTACCTCTAAGGGCTTTCCAGCTCTTTCTCCTTGAAACAGAGGTGTCTGCAAATCAGATGTCCAGATTCTGCCTCTTGTGTGTCTTGATAGTGGTGCTCTCCCTGACTCCATCAAGCAGAGGCAGCACCAGCCAGAATCATGCACAAAGCAGAAGGGAAAGAAATCCACCTCAGCTGGGCCCTGGCAGAGGGATTTGAGGAGGACCCCATGCAGCTTTAGCTCTCTGAAAGGCAGCAGCTCCCAACCTCCCTTCTAACAACCCTGCGGGGCTGCTGGCTTCAATAATGGAGGGCAAAGCAAGGAGGCAACATGAGGCTGTCCCCATCACCCAGGGCTTCTCTGTGGGCTTTTGCTTTATTTCTGTGGTTGGTTTTATGGGTCTTTTTCATACACAATGATCTCTGGGCCTCTTTGCTGCCTGTGGCTCTCAGCATGCAGCTGCAGACCCTCCACCGAGGAGATAATACACACAATCCTGGCCATTATTGTGCCAAACAGCACAGCTGGAGGCTCCTGTCTCCTTCCCTTCCCAGCCTTTCTTCTCCCCCCCCCCAACAATAACTCTTGCAATGTGATGCTGTGAACAATGAATGGCAGCGAAACCGCTCCATAGAGCATCAGCCAGGGCTTCAGGAGCTGCCTCCACTCCACCAAAGCACACAAGACATTCCTTATGCCCTACGGGTCTCTGAAAAGGTTTGGGAATGGGGGGTTTGGGGATGGGTAAAGCTGACAAAGGGTTTACCACCAGGGCATCATCCCCGCTGTGGTTCCCACCCTGGGTGATGCTTCCCTGCCCCAGTGATGTGATGTTGTGGTACCTCCTCAGCTCTTTGCCTTCTTTCCCTGGCCCAGGATCCTGCAGTTCCTGGCGCAGGGGTTTGGAGAGCAAACTCATCTAACATGGGTTGGGAGAGCTACATCCCCAGCAGGACCCATTTCATATTGCTGATGAGTATGGGTCCCCCCATTTGTGTGCCTCAGTTTCCCTCCAGACACCTGAAGCATGACTAACCCCAGCGGTGCTCATTCCCATGTGGGGATGGTGGTACCATTCCCAGATCCAAATCCCATCAGATTAACTGGGAAGGACTCACAAGCCAAGACATCCCAGTCTCACCCCACATAGAAGCCCGCAGACAGCACCACCACTGCCACCACTGGTCCAGCCAAATGCCATCACTGTCTTCATGCACCACGTCCAGCTCCTGCCTTGCCTGGATGCTCTGCAGACACCACCCTTGCTTTGCCCTTTGTGAAACGGGCAGCTGGGCTGGGGGACAGGGAAAGGGACATCCGGGGAGGTGGTTGTGGTGGGGAAGTATCCAAGTGTCCCTCAAATCACTGTCCATGGCCTTCTGAAGTGTGGCTGCAGTCCCAGTGGCTGCCAACAGTAGGTCTGGCTCTCCAGGGACCTCTGCCCACTCATGCTGCTCACCTTCCCTGGCTCCATCCTGTCCCCATCCCTGTTCCCCTGGTTTTGGCACAGATCTGTGGCACTTCTGCTATACCATAAAGATGTCCAAAGTCACACACAAACATATTCCTTTACCACTTAACCCTCTATTAAGCCACCTCCTGACCCAATTTGACCTGATTTCACTACCAGCGGAGTAAGACATCCCAAATCACAGCATCCCCACACATACCCTTGCCCCATCCCTGGCAATGTTCAAGGCCAGGTTGGACACAGGGGCTTGGAGCAAGCTGCTCTAGTGGAAGGGGTCCCTGCCCATGGCAGGGGTTGGAACTGGATGAGCTTTAAGGTCACTTCCAACATAAACTACTCTGGGATTCTATGATCGTATGATTAAAGGGTTTTGGAGGAAGGGTTTCCTCCATCCTGCTGTGTGAAGCTCAGCCTCTCCATGCCCCCTGTCACAGACATCTCATTCTCAAGGTTGGGAGGAAAATGAATGATTTTGGGGTCAGGGACAAGTCCTGCCCTACTCAGATTGCTCTGCAGGCATTTGTCACCTCAGACGTGATAGGGGTGAGGAATCGCATCTGCTCGGACCCGTCTGCCACAGCAGGGCTTTGCCTTAAAGTCTCAGCATTTCCCAATGAGGGTTATCTTACTCAGAGTGAAAAAACAACCCTAAAGGTCCTTATTTGAGTTGCTGGACATGAACCAGGGGGAAAGAGAGGAGTCAGCATCACGGATACACAGAGAGCAAAGAAGCAGCAGCAGAGGGGAAAAGGGAAGGAGAATAAAGCCCACAAGTGTCAGCACTCAGCTGTTACACACAGCACATGGCCCTGCACTCAGCCACAGCAAAGATAAAGTGCTTCGTTCCAGTTTGCCACTGCTGCCACAGGCAGAATTCCAGCCTGGTTAATGCAACTCCGGAATGTCCCGTGCGAAGGCAGCCAGGTTGGTTTAATCTTTGGCAGTGTCTGCAAGCAGTGTGTGTGGGGAGGATGGGATGATTCTCAGAGCACGTATTTCCTTCCCCCTCCCCCTCCATGAATACTCCAATAAGGAATGATGGAAATTCCCAAGAAATTAAAGAAATACATATAAAAACTTCAATACAGCTGAAAATCACCAAGTTTCCCTGCAGCAAATGGCTGAGCCCTCCATCCATTCATCTCCATCAGTGCCAAGTTTTAAGACAAGAATCAGCTTGCTCAAGCCAGGCTTTATCTCTTCCCAACTCCCAGCATCTCCGGTGTTGGGAAGTCTGGCAGCACCATGGCTCCCAGGGTACCAGGGTGAGGATGCCTTGCCTTATCCCACCTTCCAGCCTCTGCTTCTCCCCACCAAAAGCTGACAAGTGAGGAGGAGGAGGGAAAAGAGATTGAAAGGGGAGGAAAAGAAGCAGTTAGGGATGGAGGGGAAACTCTAAACCTCTGGAAAACGATGGCTTACCTTTATTTCCCAGCTCCGTCTCCACCGGGATGGCACACGCTGCTTGTCGCTGCAGGGATGGGGCGACACAGGATGCTTTATCCTGCATTCAAAAACATAGGAGACTTCTGCTTGGTGTTTTGTTTTACAGCTCTTTCGTGCCACCCATTCAATGCTGGGCTATTCCTTGCACTCAGTCTTAAGGAATACCGGGTGCAGGAGACCCTCCCCCTGACCCTGCAGCCTTCCCTTCCACTCCACCTCGCTGCCAGATATTAACATCCCCTGGGATGTCCCTCACATCCTCATTCCCTCCGTGCATTCTGTAATTGCTCCCCACTGCCTCCGCCAGCAGCTGCTCGGATTCATTCACAAACCAGCAGCGTCTCCCCGCAGCACAGCTCGCTCTGGGATACTGCAAGGGAAAACCCATGGTCCTGGATGCTGCAAGGGAAAACCTGTTCTGGGATACTGCAGGGGAAAACCCATGGTCCTGGATACTGCAAAGGGAAAACCTGTTCTGGGATACTGCAAAGGGAAAACCCATGGTCCGGATGCTGCCACCCAACCTCCTTCCTACCCCAGTCCTGAGCATCACTCACCCCACCACCTCCAGAGAGGGATCCTGTGTTGGAGTGAGACAGGAAACGGCTGAGCACGGGTCAGGACCTCACCGGGCCCTTTATAACCCACACATGAGCAAGCACCTCCCATTCCCATGTCCTCCCCGGCATAGGGACTGGCTTCCATGGGTCACAAAAGGACACAAGCTGTGCCCTATGAGAGGTCGATGGGAGATACGAACCCACTTTGCCTTTGCAGCTTCGAGGGCGAGCAGCCAGCCAAGTTTAGCCTGCAAATTGCCCCAGAGACAACCCGAGCTCCCCTGGGTCCTTGCAGCATCTAACACATCCAAGTGTGCTCCTTCATTGCCGGGGGGGGATCAGCGAGGCGTTGGTCTAACCCTGCCTTTCCACAGTGCCTCTCCTGGCGTTCCCTCTGCTCTCTATCACTGCTCTAAAGCCCCCGCGGCTGCCAGGAGAGCTTTGGAGCAAGCGCTCAATGCGATATTTCAGCGCAACGCCAGCCACCAGCCCCGGCTGCTCTCTGCAGAGCAATGGCACAGTGTCCACCCAGACAAGTTTCCTACTGTAACCGGCCTGAATGCGGTTATTCAGCCTAACGGCAGCTGATTTATCATGGCAGACACACGGGGAAATGCTTCCACTTGGGAGACTGGAGGCTCCTCGCCCAGCTGCGCTGATGAACCCGTGTTTCCCCCCCCCCCCTCCCCAAATCCCATTAGCTCACCGCGATGGACAGCATCGGTTAACGGAGGCGATGCCGCTTCCCTACACCAAAACCCACCACCACCTCCATCCTCCTCCTCCCGACCACCCCAAACCCCAAGCCATAGGAGGAAAGTTGAGGGACCCTTTTGTTTCCAGAGGGCTGGCACGTGTTGTGCTTCCCTGGGCTAAGCAAACCCGCCGTGGTCTGCGCCTTTTAAATGACTGCAGCGTTAATAACAAGTTTCCATGGAGCTGCTTAAAAAGTTTACAGGGTGTGTGTGTTATCAGGGGAGCCCCGAGCTTTGTGACCTCCCTCTTCGAGAGTCACTACCAGGTCCTTTCCTTCCTTTCTTTTTCGTTCGTTTTCTTTCTCTTTCGGTCTCTCTCTTCTCTCTTAATACGAGAACAAATAAACCCCGGTCTGCTGCCTCCCCTCCTCTCCCCAAACACACCTTCCCCTCCAGCTTAATCCACTTACAACCATGGGAAACTCCCAGGCAGGGGAGCTTTGCCCTCCCTTTATCTCCGCAGCCCCTGGGGAGCAGACCCCCTCCTTCTGCCCCCTTCCAGCCTCTTCACCCCATCCGAGCGTTACCACCCTCCCCTTCTCCTTTCTCCCCTTACCTCGAACCCCAGCGAGCCTCCCAGCACCAGAACCCGACCAAGGAGCTTCTCTCCTTCCCCTCGACCGCCTGGCCCGGGGAACGAGGGGGGAGAACGGAGCCCTGGCTGAAATCAAAGCCCCGCAGCCGGGCACGGGAGGCGGTGCGGAGCCTCCAGCTGCTGCTCGGATTACTTTGCAGCCGTGGCAATCCCCAGCGCTCCTCATTGCACCGAGGGGGGGGGAAGGAGAAGGGAAGGGATCCCCGCCTGGAAACGATGCATCCCGCCCCGGTGGGAGGAGAGGGAGCTCTCACGCCCCCTCTGCACCCCAAAATCCCGCTGTGGGAATGGCAGAAGTGGTGGCAAAGTAGCTCACCCCCACCCCAAACCTCTGTGCTTCCCCGTTTGCCGCACCAGAAGTGTTTTGCGATGTCGTGTCCCCCCCCCCCCGTTGAGCCCCTACAACTCATCACAGCCCAAAGTTTCCCCTTTCGGAGGCTGAGGCAGGGGGTCCCTGCAGATACCCCCAGTGCGGGCGCTCGGACCTGCATGGAGGCAGCAGGGAGGGCTCAAACCTCCCTTTCCCATCCCCAATAATAAGAACTGGGGGTGCCGAGGGTTGGGGGGGGGCACGACTCACCGGGGCCGGGGTCGGGTCCCACGGAGGGGAGCGGGCGCCGCCGGGAGCCGGCAGCAGAGGGGCTTGGGGCCGGGTGTCCTCTTCCTCCCTCCTCCTCCTCCTCCTCGTCGTCGTCCAAGGCGTGCAGCTGGCCGGGCAAACGGGCTGCCCCTTCCTCGCAGGAGGAGGGAGCTCAACAGATGGCTGCACACAAGGGAACATCTGGGAGGAGGAGGAGGAGGAGGAGGAAGAAAGAGGCAGGACTTGCGCTCGGCTGTGCCACTCCTGAGCTCGCAGATCCCCCCTTATGGGGGAAAAAGGGGGGTGACAAACAGGCCTTGCACACGCACACATTGCTCGGCATCCCCCCTGGGTAAAACCCCTTCTTGTCCTTATTCTTTCCTGGGGATCAATCCGGAGTTGCCTTCACAGCACTGCCTTGTTTCCAGCCCTGACCTCTTTTGCAGGAGTTGATCCTATTCCTGAATGCTGTCTACACCCGGTTTTCCAGGACTATAGAGCCAATGGCAGCTCCAGCACCCTAGGATGCAGAGCACAAGGCAGCACCGAGGTCTGAACAACGCCAGCAGGCAGGAAAGTGGGGATTATCAATTGTATGGTGCAAGCCCTGAAATAGGATAAAACTTGGGAAAGAGAGAAAAAGAGAAGGTAAAAAATCCACAGTTTGGGAGTAGAGAAATCTGGACCCCGTCACTGGAGGATGGCCTCTGGTGCTGCTGCAAGGATGCTGTGAAAGAGCAGCCCCGCACCAGAAGTTCTTGATTATCAGGTATAATGGCTCAGTGATGGCTCAAGTCATGATGCTGGTACTGGGAAAAGAACCAGGAACCTATCTAGTGTGGAGGTGATGGACAGGGCAAAAAGGACTTCAAGGGTCCATGAGTTTTCCCACGCTGCTCCCCTCGTGTGCTAGCCATGATTAGTGGCCTGTGCCAGGTCTCAAGCTGTGAAGCTGCTTGTTGCTTAATAAGTTTAGGTTAAGAAGGTACAATCAGGCTCCCTGTGCTTACTTTTCATAGCTCTGGTGCTTTGAAATCCGCCACAGGCCCCACATCAATGATCAAAGTTTTCTCAGGCTGTGAACCTCAGGCAAGCGTGTTGCTGTGATTTGCGTTTAGCATCTCTTTGTGATGAAAAGGTGGCAAAAAAAGCTGGGTTTTTGCTCTGCTTTCTCTGAGCACATCACTCCATGAGCTGCCCCCCCCCCCAGCAAACACAGCTCTGATTAATGGCCTGGGGCTCAAGGCAGGAGGTCCTGGGGGCATCAGAAGGAGATCGCAGTGTTTCCTCTGCACCCTCTGAATTGGGCAGCATGGCTTATCTGGGTTATGTGCTCACTGCATCCACATCTAAGGAGCTGCTTTTTGGGATCACCATCAGACTCCATCAGCTCTGCCAAGGAGGGGTGAGCCGTCCTTGGGAGCCAGACAGAGGAAATCATAGAATGGTTTGGGTTGGAAAGGACCTTAAGATCATCCAGTTCCAACCCCCTGCCATGGGCAGGGAAATCTCTGCTCAGGCCTCAGCGGAGCCAAGTGCTTATGGGGAAAACCCTAGGAAAACCCCTTAGAAAACCCCTTAATCTGGGTTGTGATTTTCTATTTCAAGGTGGTGGTGATATCTCCAGACATGAGCAATCTGCCCTAAGGTTCCATTCAGCCAGGTCTGCGCATTGTTCCTCTGTGTAGCTGTGGGTAGGGGAAGCTGCTATGCTGGAAGCTTTTGTTTTATTTTCCACTTTGTTCATGTTTCCATGCCTCGTGCTTGGCCTTTGCCGTGTCTAAGTTGGCCTCAGGAAAGCAAAACGCCAGTCTGAACGTGGAGGATTTGGGAAATAAACCCTCAGGCTGAGATAAAATCCAGCGATCAGCGCTGCCAGGACTGGTGATGTGAGAGGAAGAACTGACAAACATGAACATGGCTTAAAACCTCTGGATTTGGATAAAGAAAGATCTTTAAACTTTGGGTTTTGGTCTGAAGTTTATGGGCTGCATCAAAAGGAGCGTGACCAGCAGGTCGAAGGAGGTGATCCTGCCCCTCTGCTCTGCTCTCGTGAGACCTCACCTGGAGCACTGTGTGCAGTTCTGGTGTCCTCAACATAAAAAGGACTTGGAGCTGTTGGAACAAGTCCAGAGGAGGCCATGAGGATGCTCAGGGGCTGGAGCAGCTCCTGTATGGAGCCAGGCTGAGAAAGTTGGGGCTGTTGAGCCTGGAGAAGAGAAGCTGTGTGGAGACCTCAGAGCAGCTTCCAGTGTGTGAAGGGGGCTGCAAGGATGCTGGAGAGGGACTCTTCATCAGGGACTGCAGTGACAGGACAAGGGGTAACAGCTTCAAACTGAAACAGGGGAAGTTTAGATTGGATCTAAGGCAGAAGTTCTTTCCTGTGAGGGTGCTGAGGCACTGGAATGGGTTGCCCAGGGAGGTTGTGAATCCTCCATCCCTGGCAATGTTCAAGGCCAGGTTGGACAGAGCCTTGGGTGCCATGGTTTAGTGTGAGGTGTCCCTGCCCATGGCAGGGGTGTGGAACTAGATGATCTTAAGGTTCTTTCCAGCTGTAACAGCAGCACTCCAAATAGCCCTCATATACTACCACTGCAGAGGCAGGTCTGAATGCCACAAGACATCTTCTCCCAGCTTGGTTCTTTCAGGGCCATGCTGAGCCTTTCTCTGACCTTCTGCTCCCAGAAGACACCAGCTCAGTTCCTTGTTTCTCAACATCTGATAACATCCTGCTTGGTTTATCTTGCCTAAAATCCTCTTAAGCCAAAGGAAAGGTATCTGAGTCACTCTGAGCTCCTCCTGAATGGATTCTAATAGACACATACTTAGCAAGAGGACTTAAAGAGTGAATGAGGATGACATAAACTGGATTAGTAAGAAGAGCCCGTGTTGGAGTTTCGCCCCTTTGAGTCCCTCCCTGAGATCTCATTTCCCTTCCTTTTCTTATGCAACCTCAGGAAAGGCGATTTCTCATGTACCAAACTGTTAGAAAAGCCACAAACCCAGATGGGTGCCTTGCAATCCCCAGCTCTGATCTTCTCCCCCATCCCTGCCCATGGCAGGGGGTTAGAACTGGATGATCTTAGCGTTCTTTCCGACCCAAACCATTCTGTGAGTCTATGTTTCTATGTGTCCTCCTCCCTGGGTATTCCTGCTGAGGAAGGAGCCTTCCCATTGTGCAGTGCATTGCTCGTGAACTCTCTCCTTTGAGGTTGAAATAGAGCAGATGTCTTAGGAAGCTTGAGTGCATTTGGTGGCATCTCCCAGAAGGAAGCACCCGCAGCAGCAGCCAGCAATGATTACTTGTGGAAGGGTTTAGTTACTGCAAGAAGTTAGAATAGAAGCTTCCCACAATAGCAGCAAAC